GATAGTATTGATAGTCATCCATTGAAACATTGTTTTTAGTATCCCTTTCTGCTTTTTCATCTTGTTTCTTATATGAATCAATTTTATATTTCCAATACTTTTTTGTTAATTCAAAACTTGATTCCACATTTTCTTCTTCTGGATATGTTTCGTTAGGATTGAAGTTCTTATATGCTAACGCGTAACGAATCATTGATGCATTCGATGATAAAGAAAGATTATGAAGCATGTCAATTTTATAAACAAATGTTTCTTCAATAATTTTATCAATTGGGTCAATCATAATTTCAACGTCTTTATTGCAATAATGAATAAAATATTCTAATCTATTCTCAAAATTTTTAGCATCATTGAGATATATTTGATAATCTGAATCGGATATTGTTTCTTGAGTTAATGCTGAATAAAATGAATCTTGAGTGAATGGTTCCACTTTATATAATTCATCTTCGTAATTCTCCCATGTGATGAATTGATAAGGGAAAAAGGATTTAACACGTGATTTATTGTTTCCGAAATCTTGAGTGAATTGGTCTAATGTTCCACCCGCTATATAATTTCTGATGTCAATAAATCTTAATTCATATGGACAGTTTGTTTTCTTTACAATGATTTGCTTAAATTGAGAAGAAGAACCCAGCATTGATTTTATTTTCCATTTTGCAGTGTTTAAATCACGAAGAATTAAATTTAAATCAAACTTTCCCGAATTAAAACCTATGATATTCACTTTATTGAATTCCTCATCTAGAAGTTCTTTAAATGCTTCCTTCTGTTTTTCATTTAATGTATGGGACAAAGTCCCCGCCGTTTGGTCCGTTTGCGGCTTCATTAATTCTTCATATTGTTCAATATTTGATTTAGCAACTAATGAACAGGTTGAAAATAAAAATTCAATCCAATCAGAGATGAACGAATCACTTGATGTTAAGCAAAAATTCCTCGTAAATGTTTTATCACGGTCTACGACCTCGCCGCTTCGGTCTGAAAGACCTTCAGGACTCAAAGAGTCCGTTTGCGGCTTTATTTTGACAGTTGATGATACCATAAATGGTTTTAAGTAAGCGTTCAAAGTTGCACATTCAGAAAGTTGAAGTTCTTCTTTAGTCTCTAATGTTTCGAAGTCAAAAGTAATATAATATCTTGTTGGTTTATAATATTCCTGCAAATTATGTGCTAATAGCCATTGATATATCTTCTGTTTCGTGATATGTGGTGCATATGGTTGTTGTGTGTTTTGCAATTGAACGTCTTGAATTAATCTTCCATTATTTTCTTTACATTTCTCACAATGCTTTAAAAATCTTCTTTGGTTTTTCCTTTCTGGGTCATCACGGATAGAATATACTTCTTCTTTGCAAAAGGGGCAAACTTTATATCCTGTGAGTGCTTCAACGTCTGTAATTCTGTCAGCGTGAAGTTTTCCACATGGACTCTGTGTTAATAAAATATTTACTGTTTCAAATTCTGGATCTATCATTATTGATTCCACTAATGGAAAGTCTACCTTATTTATGTCTACGTCTTCTGGTTGAGGGTCACAATAATAAAAATCAATATTAACGTTTAACATTCTTGCTAACCTCTCACTTTCTGATGAAATGTCAAATCCTTCATATGCATCTATGGCTTCATTTAAATAACTTCTACGAGTTTTAGGATTAACACCATCAGGAATGTTATAGAAGCGTTTAAATAACCTTCTACCTTCGGCTCTTATTTGATTATCATTCATTTTAGCTGTTCCGTTTTTGTTCATTTATGTAAGAATAAAAAATTAAAAAATAAATAAAAATAAAGTTTATTTTTTTTAAAGTCCAGGGCTAAAGTCCATAAAATGAATTAAGAACACATAAATTTTTATCATCTGCGACGTGACGAATACATTTTAATTTACTCAAGAATGCGTACCCTGATACATTAAATCTAATTCCTGTCTTATTTAATTTCACAACTTTGAAAAGGAATGTATGAATAGCTATAAAATGATGAGATGATGTTTTATGGGTTGCTTCCATTTTTTCTGAAATAAATGAATAAATATAATGTTTATAAGTTTTCATATCTTTTATATTCTTAATAACGAATGGTATAGACCTTTCAACTTCGTCTTCCTTCGGTGCTGTTCTTTCATATGAAACATTATTAGTATCTTCAATAATGAAACCACAATCGCATAAAATTTTATATGTACCAATTGTTTCTTTTGATATTTTATCTAACAAATCAAAAACTTTATCAACACCTGCACATTTATTTAAATAATAATTTGTGTAAATATCATGGTCTTCTTTCTTAATCGTATTTGTTGCATATGTTACATTTTTCAGTGCTTTTTTGAATTTTTCAGAATCAAGAGGAGGTGAAAGTAATATACATGGATAATCTCCATCGTCAATAAATTGTAACTTATGTTTATGAATAAATTTTGTGCCTTCTTCTGAAAGTGTTTCATCTATTTCACCATCTAATAAATTTTTAGTAGATTCCAAAAAGTAATTTTTATATCTTTCTTCATGAGATTTTTGAACTTCTGATTCTGAAGCTGGGATATTCATTAAACCCTCTACTTCATTCTCATTATATTTTTCAACTTCTCTTAATTCCTTAATTTTTTCATCTATTTCATCTCTTATTTTTTCCAGTCTTTCAATTTCATCATATTCATCATCTTTAATCCGTTCTTCATAATATTCAGGGAAAACATCAGGTTCTTTAGGTTTTTCTTCTTCAGATGTGGGATATAAGAAATTTATAACATCATCTTTATTCATTTTTCCATCATAATCTAAATCATTTAATAACTCCGCGAATTTTTGACAATTTCTTAAATAATATTTATTAACTTCATAACTCGCCTCCTCTAATATATCCTTTATTTCCTCGTTTGTGAATCCCAATTTTTTAACGTCGTTAGTCTTGACACTCATTTTCATACGAATTAAAAAAATAAATTATTCAAAAAATGTAAGACATGAATTTTTAAAGTTTATTTTTTTATTTTTTTTATTTTTTTTATTTCATTATGTATGGGTTTAGTGAAAATTTCTTACGATTCTGAAAATTTTTAAATCTTGATTTATTCAAAAACGTAAGAATAAAAACCGTAAAAATCATACATTTTTTACTTCATATGTAAAAAAAAATGATACAAAATCGCTCAAAAATGTATGAATTCTTACGTTTACAAAAAAAGTCACAAAACCCATCAACATATACTACTTTTTTCATTGTTGAATCAAGTTCTCTCTATGTTAATGAATGCCCTCTTAGTATTGCAATCAAAGCGAATTCAATAGAAATTATGAAATTCTTAGTTGAACATGGTGCTAAGAATTGAAAATTTTTATTTTAGATATATTGAAACAGCATTATTTAAGAGTAAACATTTCATTTCTTCAATTGATTTTCCATACCGTATACAGACTTTTTAAAGATATATCTTTTAAGAAAATATAAAATAAATAAAACAAAATGAATATTAGGCAAGTCCATTGACAAAGCTTAGTTTATGGACATTAAAACAGTACATGGACTTGCCTATTATATAAAAATATCATAATATATTTTGCATACTTTATACACTTTTTCAATATTTTTTTTGTTTTGAAAGCATCTGAAAATTAAATGGACGAATTGAAAAAGTTTGTAAAGTATCAAATGTTGATAGAGTTGCCTTTCAATATCTTTGCTTTTTAGGTCAGATTCCATGCTATTGATAACTTTGCAGATGCAAGGAAAAGTAAGTCAGAAGTGTTGAGATGCAGATAGTTTTGTCATTCTAGGATCAATTCTCTCAGATCTGTAGGTTTTGCCCATTTCCTTAGTCCATGCATCACTTGAAGAAACTTCTCTTGAAAAGACTTTTTCCTCTTTCTTTCCTTATAATTTCACTTCTGATGATCTGAGAACATCTATTGCTTTCTGTAAGTCTGAACTTCCTTTCGTTGCGAAATCCAACTGGATATGCTGTCAATCTCCGACAGTATCCTTCACCATCATATATCTGTCCGAAATTCTCCATCGTCAATGAATCTCCAGCAGAAAATGGACAGCTTGGATAACTGTGGTCACTTTTCGGATTTGTCGATTCAAAAAATATCACAAATTTTGCTGGCAAAAGAAATACGACTTTTATTTTCCATTTCATTTAGAAACAATAAACGTTACAGTTTGGACAGTTTGACATAATTAATTTCCATTTTTGCATCAATGGAATAATCCCCAAAAATGGAGATGATGCATCATTTCATAAATAGTGATTTTTCAAATTTGACATTTCAGATATGAAACATTTTGAGTGATTTGAATTCCACCAGTCAGGAATTGTATTGTCTTGTGAGAAATATCCTTCTCTGTTGATTATTTTTCCATTTGATTCATGTATTTTTGTGTTTTTTTTTAATGATTTCTTTACTTTCATCGATATTTGATGTAACAAATTTAAGAGATTCATTTTTGTCATCTATTTTATCATATATTTCTTCTAATAATTTTTTGTTCGTTTCACCATATTCAACTCCAATTTTTTTTACAAAAACTTTTGACATGAATGACGATGAACCTTGTTTGGCTGTGCAGTGGTCCCTTAAAATCATTTTTTTTTTCGAAATCATCAGATTTGTCTAAGCTCCTTTTCCTTCGTAAAGTCTCTTATTCGAAATTTTGATAGACGATCAATCACGCCAATCTGATCTTAATTCAAAATTTTGGCAACTGGTGTGAAGTGTCATTGAAAATTAACCTTAAACATCTGAATTGAAAGAATTGTCATAGAGGGGTAAGTGCATCAATAATTCCATATTCTTTATAAAACAGAAAGTTTGAAATGCGTTTGGAATATACGAATACCTAATACATAGCGGAAATTTTAAAAGATACGGAATATCTATTATAATTCCGCATAAACCATTTAACTCATTTCAATTTTTGAATAATCGCGGAATAATTATTAACTGACATGATTACTTAAAAATTTGACAAATTTTATACGATTATTGATGAGTTCTCGTCGCACTTCCTCAGCAAATTCGAGATCCGAATCAAGTATTAACGGCAAAAGCGCATCAATGTTAAAAGAACAAAATATTCAAGTTTATTTGAATCACAGAACTCGCAGACCAGGTGGCTATGATTTGAATTCCAGTAAAATAAATACATCGACATATACAGTAAAGCGTCCAGATAGTTCATTTGTTTCAAATAAGATTTCCGTTAACTCAAATTCTAGCATAAATTCCTCTGATATTTCAAGCCCTTCTTCCAAACCAACTAGTATGCATAAATCTATTTTGTTAATGACGAATAATCAACCCAGACCAGTAAATGTGCTTCAAACTTTATATAGCCCAACAAAACCAGAAGAATCTAAATATCAATGTGTTCCAACACCATCACAAACAGTAATTGTAAAGAGTCCAAAGAAAACAATTTCAGAAATTAATTCATCAATCAACGAATCCGAATATTTTTACTCTCCAACCAAGACTCAATGCGAAATACGAAATATGATAAGCTCCAAGAGTGAAATTCCGCAACCAGGAAATTCTTTTGTTTCATATATTACTCAATCTAACAACAGAGTCACAAAATCCAGATCTAAACTTGCCAACGAAAGTAATGTCAAATCCACTCGGTCTCCTTCAAAAGCTCATAAACCTTTTAGAAAATCTAGTGCAACTTCAAATACTCATTCAATTTCCGTTTACGCTGATAGCAAGAATACTCAGAATTATTCTGCAATACCATCCGGATCACCTGTTCACAATCATCATTTTGATTTAATGCAAAATAGTTCAATAGTCAGCGAAAATTCTTCTGATGTATCACCAATTCCAAAGAAGACACTAGACAATAGAGGGCCATCATTTACAAACTCAATTTTAACTCCAAAGAATCTCCTCCGATTCGTGAGCAAATTGTGAACGAAAAACTCAAATCAATGCTCGCAGATGTAATGGCTGAAGAAGAAGTAAGCGAAGACGAAAAAATAACAGAAAAAGAAACAAAACCAAAAGAAAATTTAACAAAATCTCCAGAACTTACTCAAGCTGACCGCGAACGTATTCCATCACGATTACCAAACCTCGGAGTATCATTGTCATTAGATAATTTTGATCCACCTGTTGATTCTGATGAGGTATCTTTATCATCACTCCAAAACGATGAAAATTCAGATTCTGGAACATTTGAATACTATGAAGAGGAAGAAGAAGATCCGAAATCTTCAGATCCTCAAAAGATTCTTGAAGATGGCTCTTTTTCTGAGTATAAGAAAGCCAGTGATATAGAAGACAGCCACCAACAAGATGGTCTCGAAGAGAATTTATCCGAAATTGCAAAAGAAAAGGTCAGACCATCAAATGCTAAATTGAAGGTCTTACAACAGATGAAGATGAGAAGGAAGAAGATAGCGTTAGTCAAATAAGCAATTCTGATAATGTTGAGATCTCAGATATTAAAAATCCCGAACAAGATAAAAATGATGAAAACAAAAGTAGCGAAGAACCAAAAGAATTAATTAATTCAAGTGACATAGCACACAAGATCATCGATGAAATACTTCAAGATGATGATTCTTCAAATGCAAATCAGAAATCACCAAAAAACTCAAAAGGTGAAGAAAATCTTCCTCTCATTGTAGCAACAGAAGTTAAGGATATGAAAGAAGACAAATCCGAGATTGTTCTTGAAGAAAATTTCAATGTTCAGGAACAAAATCCAAAAGAAAATGAAGAAGAAGACAGATTCCAGTTCGAAGAAGATAATATTGAATCTCTGGATCCAAATGCTCTGAAATTTGAAGAAGAAGAAATGTATTCAGATGTAGAATCTTCTTTATGCAACCACAACCCTTCAATTCTTGATATCAATGAGTTAGATGATCCGAATATACAAGCTCCACGTATGATTGACGCTGACGATTTAATAATTGAAGAAGAATCTTTTCCAAGTGAAAAAGACGAGTTGAATAAATGCCAAGTTGTAGATATCCCAGTATCTACCTCTCCAGAATCTGCAGAAACAAGCGAGATCCCACCTCCAGATAGCAAAACTGATGAACTTGACGATATTGGGAAAATTGATGAAATCCTTGCAAGTTTAATCGAAGAGGAAGATTTGGATGAGCTTTTTGCCCCAAAAGGACCAAGTAAATTAACATCTGATATTCTCGATACTGAAGATTCAAAAAAAGATGATATCCTTAAAGACAACAATCAAACACCAACAGTTAATGAAGACCAAAAGCTCAAATTGACAATCCAGACGTCAAATTTAAATCAAAATCCAAGTAAAAACGAAACAGAAGAAGAAAATACCAAAGATAATGCATCAGATGCCAACAGCGATGATCTGTTTAATTTAGCAGATTCGAATTCCGATGAAGATGTCGATTCAATAAAAATTGAATGTCCTTCACCAAAAGTAGATGAATTATTGGACAAAGGAAGTGATGAAGAAGAAGAGGAGGGCTCTCCAAAGCACATTTTCATAAGAAAATCAAAATATTCAGTTAATGACGACTCAGATGACGAAGAAGAGGAGTGCTATGACTTTATTAACGAAGATGAACTTATTATCGAAAATGATTACTTTGAAGAAGAAGAAGAATCAGATCTCATAATTCATCCAACAGAAAGAGTCGACAAGGATCTCACTAGTGAACAAAAATCAAAAATTGTTGAAGACTACGTTGGAAAAATCAATAATTCTGCTTCAGTTGTTAATGAATTAATAAAAGTTGCAGATAAATTGATTCTCGAGCAGCTTAATTCACTGTGATAGTTTACATAATTCACGTTTTAGTTCCTAACTGTTTATTTATGTTTTATTAAAATTGTTATATTTATTTTTGCTATAATTACTATCCCTCATTTTTGAGCCTCTTTAAGACTTATCAATTTTTTTTCAGGATTGTTTTATTTATACATGGCAACTGGCGGGAAAAGTGACAATATAAATTTGTAGTTGAGTATAAGTAATCCCACAAATAGATGACAAACAATGCATGCCCGTATCACATGGAAGCTAGATGAACTTTTGTTCAAAATGAGTTGTGAAATATGAAAGGTAAAATAATTTCAAAAACAATTTCAATCTAACACAGTTCTTTACTATGTTAAAGCAATAAATTACCGAATACCTTAGGAGAACAGCACAATCCCTACATTGCGCTTGCATTAATCCAAAAAAAGAGATAATCGGCTTAATTTCTCCTCAAATATCGAAAGAAATACGTTGTAATCGAATCCAAATACAAATAAAAGCTCCTTAAGTTGCTTTCAAGTACTCATAAGGCTTATAAATCTTTTCATATGGATGTTAAATAAAATTTTGATTTATTTTTGATACCTATTCAGTTTTTATAATTCAAACACCCAGATTGTAGTTATCATGCTAATTGCTATAGAGTATTTTCAGAATTTGAATGAATTGATAATTTAAATTAGATAAGCCAACGAGAGGACTACTTATATTTAACTGAATAATTGGAAAGAATTTGAAGACGTTTATTGCCCGCCAAAATAAAAATAATAATAATAATAATAATAATAATAATGAAAAAAAAAACTTTTCATATTTAAATAAAACTTGCCATGTAATGGCTTACATTGCAAATTTTTTGAATACTTTACATCACCATAAAATGGCAGTACAAGGCTAGTTTATCGGTACAAGGCTCTTGAAATGACTTTAATATTCATATTGTTTTATTTATTTTATATTTTCTTCAAAGATATATCTTGAAAATGTCTGTATACGGTATGCAAAATATATTATGATATTTTTATATAATAGGCAAGTCCATGTACTGTTTTAATGTCCATAAACTAAGCTTTGTCCATGGACTTGCCTAATAAGAATAAACATTTCAAGGTATTTTATATTTTCTTCAAAGATATATCTTGAAAAAGTCTGCATACGGTATGGAAAAATCAATTGAAGAAATGAAATGTTTATTCTTAAATAATGCTGTTTATTTTCAATTCTTAGCACCATGTTCAATTAAGAATTTGACAATTTCAATTGAATTCGCTTTGATTGCAATACTAAGAGGGCATTCATTAACATAGAGAGAACTTGATTCAACAATGAGAAATGTGAAATGAATGAGAATGTAATAAACAATGATAAATATGAAAAGAAAGGGAATGCCATAAACTAATGATAACTATGAAATGAATGAAAATTTCATAAAATAATGATAAATATGAAAAGAAAGATAATGCAATAAAACACTGATAAATATGAAAAGAAAGAGAATGCCATAAAATAATGAGAAATATGAAAAGAAATAGAATAAAATAAAACAATGAGAAATATGAAAAGAAAGAAAATCTCATAAAATAATGATAAATATGAAAAGAAAGATAATGTAATAAAACAATGATAAATATGAAAAGAAAGAGAATGTTATAAAGTAATGATAAATATAAAAAGAAAGAGAATGTCATGAAATAATGATAAATATGGAAAGAAAGAGAATAAGTTTTATGTTAACATCAGCACCATGCTCAACTAAAAATTTCATAATTTCTATTGAATTCGCTTTGATTGCAATACTAAGAGGGCGTTCATTAACATAAAGAGAACTTCATTATACAATGAGAAATGTGAAATGAATGAGAATGTAATAAAACAATGATAAATACGAAAAGAAAGATAATGTAATAAACTAATGATAAATATGAAAAGAAAGAGAATGTTATAAAACATTGATAAATATGAAAAGAAAGAGAATAAATTTTATGTTAACATCAGCACCATGCTCAACTAAAAGTTTCACAATTTCAATTGAATTCGCTTTGATTGCAATACTAAGAGGGCATTCATTAACATAGAGAGAACTTCATTATACAATGAGAAATGTGAAATGAATGAGAATGTAATAAAACAATGATAGATATGAAAAGAAAGATGATGAGATAAAACAATGATAAATATGAAAAGAAAGAGAATGCCATAAAACAATGATAAATATGAAAAGAAAGAAAATTCTATAAAACACTGATAAATATGAAAAAAAAGATAATGTAATAAACTAATGAGAAATATTAAAAGAATGAGAATGTTATAAAGTAATGATAAATATAATAAGAAAGATAATTAATTTTATGTTAACATCAGCACCATGCTCAACTAAAAGTTTCACAATTTCTATTGAATTCGCTTTGGTTGCAATACTAAGAGGGCATTCATTAACATAGAGAGAACTTCATTATACAATGAGAAATGTGAAATGAATGAGAATGTAATAAAACAATGATAGATATTAAAAGAAAGAGAATTTTATAAAATATTGATAAAAATGAAAAGAAAGAGAATAAGTTTTATGTTAACATCAGCACCATGTTCAACTAAAGATTTCACAATTTCAATTGAATTCGCTTTGGTTGCAATACTAAGAGGGCATTCATTAACATAGAGAGAACTTGATTCAACAATGAGAAATGTGAAATGAATGAGAATGTAATAAAACAATGATAAATATGAAAAGAAAGGGAATGCCATAAAATAATGAGAAATATGAAAAGAAAGAAAATGCCATAAAATAATGTTAAATATGAAAAGAAAGAGAATTTTATAAAATATTGATAAAAATGAAAAGAAAGAGAATAAGTTTTATGTTAACATCAGCACCATGTTCAACTAAAGATTTCACAATTTCAATTGAATTCGCTTTGATTGCAATACTAAGAGGGTATTCATTAATATAGAAAGAATTGCATTAAGCAATGAGAAATATAAAAAGAAATATAACTTCATAAAATAATTTTAAATATGAAAAGAAAGAAAATGTCATGAAATAATGATAAATATAGAAAGAAAGAGAATAAGTTTTATGTTAACATCAGCACCATGCTCAACTAAAAGTTTCACAATTTCAATTGAATTCGCTTTGATTGCAATACTAAGAGGGTATTCATTAATATAGAAAGAATTGCATTAAGCAATGAGAAATATAAAAAGAAATATAACTTCATAAAATAATGTTAAATATGAAAAGAAAGAAAATGTCATGAAATAATGATAAAAATGAAAAGAAAGAGAATAAGTTTTATGTTAACATCAGCACCATGTTCAACTAAAGATTTCACAATTTCAATTGAATTCGCTTTGGTTGCAATACTAAGAGGGCATTCATTAACATAGAGGAAACTTGATTCAACAATGAGAAATGTGAAATGAATGAGAATGTAATAAAACAATGATAAATATAAAACGAAAGGGAATGCCATAAAATAATGATAAATATGAAAAGAAAGAAAATCTCATAAAATAATGATAAATATGAAATGAAAGAGAATAATTCGTTTGTTAACATCAGCACCATGCTCAACTAAGAATTTCACAATTTCTATTGAATTAGCTTTGATTGCAATATTGAGAGGACATTCATTAATATCGAGAGAACTTGATTCAACAATGAGAAATATGAAAAGAAATAGAATGCCATTAAATGATGATTAATATGAAAAGAAAGAGATTATAAGTTTTGTTGACATTTTCTCCATTAGAAAGTAAATAAGAGGCAATATCATAATTTCCGAAATACATACTTTCTGCTATTGAATCAGGACTTTGACCAAAATTTAATTTAAGGTAGTTAGCAATTTCATAGTTTCTATATTTCAATGCTATATTTATCATTTTATCAAATGATTTACCTTCCTCTATCATTTGCATAAAAATGATTTTATTTCCGCCTTGAACAGCATATTTTTCGGAGTATTCAGTAAATTGAGCACCTAAATTTTTCAAATAATTGAAACATAATTCTGATCCATATTTAATTGCACAATTAAGTGGTGTGATTTCATAATTTATTTTCTTATTAATATCAAGATTTGGGAATTTGCTCTTAAGGTCATCAACTTTATTCCATGCAATATAGTATAAAGGAGATTCTGTTGGATATATATTGAGAATATCTTCTTCTTTCTTTATAGGACTGAAGTGTTCAAATTTGAAACCTTTGTAATGTAGAAGTGTCGTTAATTTCACATTTTCCGGTTTGATAATGCATGAGAATTCGTTTAATATCTTTTCGTAAAGTTCTGCTAATAATTTAATATCTTTATCACGAAGTTGTGAAATAATATCAATCAGGTGAAGTGACATTTGGATAGATATTTTGTTATTTGTAATGAGTTCTATAATTTGTGAAGATATATGTAGAATATTATTTGAATTGATACTCCAAATCTTTTTTGATGCTTGATTAAGGTATTCAAATGCTTCAGTTGGCTTGATGTCACTAAAATCGAATTCAGTTTCATTATTTGATTGCTCAGAACTTAACATATTTGACCCGAATCCAAAAAAAAAGCTATCGTTCTTGCTACATCATCAAATTTTGAATAGTTTACGTTGAATTTTTTTAATTAATGAGTTTAGGACTGAATAAAACACATCAAAAATTATAACCCGCCATAGATGTGCATTTCATGTTCTTGTGCAGGATATGGATTCTGATTGAAGATATAATTTTGGCGAATCTATATAAATTATGTGACTTGTACATAAATTGATTGATGTTATCATGAAGATAACTATGGCAAAAAATCTGGTCGGTCATTGATATTTCTCAAAAATCAAATAAAATTTATGAAGCACAAACTATAGTTTGAACATGTATAATCTCTTCCCTAGCTTAGTGGAATCTCATTTAGTTTAATATTTAACTCATTTATTGGTTCTCAATTGGTGAAAAAGGGTCTGAACAATACAAAACAAAATCAAAAGTGGTAAAAAATTGTAAAGTATTCAATAAACTAAGTGGAAATTGACACAGTATTCACTAATATTATTGTAAGCTTGCGAAAAGTGGGGAACTTTACAAATCGACGAGGAAAATATTTATTGGGGGGTACAATCATTTTATAATAAATTGAAACGGGGTTCTCAATATCCTCAATTATCGTTTCCTACTATTAGCAAGCTTAGTTATTCAGCACTATACCCTCAACTCATTAACTTTTTTAAGTTTGATTAAATTTCAATTATTATTTTTTTTTTGATTTATGGCTTTTGCTTCGGGTTATCCAAAAGAATTCGAGCAAATCCATAATATTGTCTCTTTTGAATTAGTCGAAGTTAATCTATCTTCGTTGAAGTCTCCGATTTTAACGAAAATCGAATCTACCGGTCCGATTTGGCAGATTATGAAGCCAGATTCAAATCAGATCTATTGCTCATTGCTTTTAACCAATTACGAGTTTACGATACAAAATGATGAGCGCGGTAAATACCTCAGAGCTCAATTAATTTTCGATACACAGCAAAACCATAAACTTCGTTTCAAAACACCACTAGATATGTATAAAGCATGCAAAATGGCAAACGATACATTTGATGATATCCATACATTCGCAAAAACATTCAATTCTCGAAGAACAAATATCGTTTGTAAAGGATTTTTATTCACTTTACAGGCACCAACATTGGAACATGGTGAATTCCAGATGAAATATAATCCAGATACGTCCGCAGTTTCAGTAAAAATTACGAAAAATGTTGGAGAAGCCGTGAAAGCTGTATTTTTAACAAATATTAAAGAATCAACGATATTACATTATGGATTTGAAATTCCCGAATCTGTTAACAGCAATTTCCTTTCTAAAATTATCGTTGTTTATAACGCAACAACACCAGCCAAGAAGTTCTTCTTTATATGCTCGTCTTATCCGGAATCAATGACAATTGCTCTTAACTACTGTATGGACTTCTTCCTTGCAGGAGGAAGGCAGCCAATTTCTAAAAATATTATTATTCCTGAACAAGTACTTATTTCACCTCCAGCTGCACCAATAAGCGTTGAACCTGAAGAAGAAACACACGAGCACTCCCATCATAAGCATCATCATAGAACTCCTGAAGAACTTGAAGCGAAAAGGAAAGAAAGAGAAAAAAAGAGAGCGGAATCTACTTTACAAAGCGCTAGATTCAATTTGTTACCAGCTGAACCTGATAATTCTGCTCTTCCTCCAAAAAAAATTGTTTCATTACAAAATATGCATTCAAGTGTGCCTCCTCCGAAGAGGCCACCTCCTCCTCCATCAGTACCACCGCCATCTTACGAACCCGAGCCAGGAAAACAGCAAATTCCGGCAAAACAAGCACCAATTGTTCCAAATTTGTCCGAAAAATCTCAACCACCAAAGATAGAGTTACTTCCAGAACCAAAGAAAGTCGAAGAACCCAAGAAACAAGAAGAAATAAAGAAAGAAGAACCGAAATTACCTCAAATGGAAATCCAAAAGGCAACAAAGCCAGAAGAGCCAAAGAAACCAGTTGAAGAACCTAAAAAGACACAAGAAGTACAAAAAGAACCAGAAGAAGTCAAAAAACCAGTGGAAGAACCGAAATCTTCTCCAGAACCTCAGAAACCGCCAGAAAAAATCAAAACAATGCCATTACCTAAGAAATCAGTGCCAGAGATGAAGATAGAAATCAAAGAACTTCAACCTCCTTCAAATAATTCCGTTGAAAAGAGAATGAGCATTCCAAAGTTAGTTTTTACAAGCCAGAAAGCGGAAGAACCCGAAAAGAAGAAGGTTCCCCGTCTTGCATTCAATATTTCTCCTTCCAGCGAAAATCTTCTTTCGAAAGAGCGAAAACAAGAAATCCCAGTTACAATTCCTCAAGAAAAAGAGAAGGTCGTTAAAGAGTTCAAGCTTCCTCCAAACATGAGAGTCTCTTTAAGCAGAAGATACCAAGAAACTATGCAATCTCGTAAAGAAGCAACGACAAGGAAGTCAACTGTCCACAAGAACTTCATCCAGACAGACCTTTCGTTCTTGAAGGAAGCAAAAGAACCACCTCCACAGCCAAAAAAGGTCGAAAAACCAAAATTATTACCTGGAAAGTTCGAAGCGTTCATGCAGAAGCACGGAAAGACTACAAAAGAAGTCAAGAAACTCGAATTACCAACATTGGCATCATTGGCTTCTTCTTCTATTGATTTCAAGACAAATTCAAAGTTGGAAGAAAATTCAATAGCGTCACTTTTGGAAAATTGTTTGGAAAAAATACCAAACACTTTTCAAGATCCATTTAGCAGTTTCGATGATTTTAATGATTTAGACAATGAAAACTTAATCGAAAAAACAATCGAAACAACAACTTCGATTAAAGATTCGAATTTGTTCGAATCCGTTAAGACAAGTGACTTCTCCCATGCTAGTGAAGAAGACTTTAAGTACGCCAGTACCCCACAAACACCATTTCTCACTGAAATCCTTTCAGTTAATGAAGGAATTATTTCAAGTGGCGCTTCTCGAATCTCAGACTCGAATTCGAGTGGTTTGCAGTTTATTATATCCACAATGCTCATCAATGGCTTCAAAGGCGCAAGCAAAATCACTGATAATCTTAATTTCTTAGACGCATATGATGAATTAGCACAATATGTACCAATCATCAGTGAATGCGTCTCAAAGGCAAGGAAAGGAATAGATTTTGGCCAACAAGTTTCACTTTTCACCCAAAATCTTTTGAATTCTTGCAGTTTTATGCGAACAATAAGGACAGCAGTGATTCACAGCCAATGGTTACGCAAATATTACAGCGCAGGATCATTGCTAAGGAACTACAATGACCTAGAAATGGTTCTTTCCATTTTACAGCCACTTCTTCTCACTCATGAAGTCGAAATATCGGAGAACCCAGTAATTCTCAGCGACCAGACACCGAATAACTTGCAGAGATTCGCGTTTACTGAGTGTTTCCCTCACATTTTGTTGGAAGATTCGATTAATCAGAAAGATCAACTTGTTCAATCGATTAAATCTGTCTTCCACAATGGATTGAGGCCTCCGCAAATTAGTTTGGCCGCTGGTTTGCAGAAGAAAGGCGTAAAAGCTGCATTATCTCAAATTATTGAAGAAAATCACCAAGATGAGGACTGGCCAGAGTTCAAACGCGTTGTTTCTGGTGCACAAAGTATCACAGATGTTATAGTAGAAGGCTTGAAAAAGAAGAAATTACATAAATGGTTCGCATTCATCGTTTTATCAAGAGATATCCTTCAGAAGCACTATTTCGACGAATCCCCATTTCTTGACTTCTATAAAGCCAAGAAAATTTATACAATCCTTGAACATTTGTCAAGGAGATAAAAAATTTTATAAATAAAGATTAATATATTTAATTTAAGGGTGCACTTACTAATTTCTGATACCTTCTCATCTTTTGACTCAAAACTTGGATTTTTCCAGATCAAGATATATCTGATATTATTTTTTGACTTGGAATATCTTGTCAAATCCAAAAAGAAAAATTTTGTTTATATTACTGTAAAGTCTACTTCATGAGCTATTTAGTATATCCTCAATTTTTTACTTTTGCAACTCAATATGGAGAATTTTTTTTCAAATTATAGAACTATTTGAAATACAATAGAGACCAACACTGATATGGAAGTATAGGATATAAAAGAAGCTTTATAATGGTAATACTATGATGAACAAATGCTAAAATCTGACTCGGTTGTAATCAAATTTTTGATCTCAGGGAAATTGAAAAAATATAGAGAAAAATATGGTAAAACTTCCTTATGCTGAAAAAGATGTTAACAATAATTTACTGTCAATTTTTCAAGTAAAATTGTTGGAAATTAGGGGATCTTATGGTACTAAAAGCGTTTACAAATTCCTGAAGAAATTTCTGTGAAAGGAGATCACAGATTGACGTCAAATGCTTAGGAAGAAGGATTTTGGCGTTAAACATGTGGAGATTCCCATTCAGCAAGCGAAACGGGAAATTCGAATCTTGTCAAATCTCTAATTGAATGTAAATACAATAAAGATATAACCGATAGTTATAGATGGACTTCACTCCTTTGAGCATCAAGAAATGATCATCTTGAAATTGTTAAATACCTTATCACTGCTGAAGATAATATAAATGCGCAAGATGATACTGAAGATACTTTCCTCATTTATGCATCAAAAATTAATTATATTGAAGTTGTTAAATGCCTTGCCTTTACTGAGGCCGATAAAAATATTAGGGATAAAGATAGAAAAACCGCACCCCTATATGCAAAAGGTGATATATCAAAGCTTTTATAAAATCTATTGGAGCCAAATAATCTAATGTGATATCCATTACATCAAATTATAAAATGTCTTAATTTATAAATTTGTCTCATTGAATTCTATATTCATTGTTATATAGGGTTTTGATGATGATACAGAAACAGGTTCCATTTTATGACATATCACAAGATCTCACACATTATTCAAATTGCATTTAAGGCTTCCTCAAGTGATTTGATGGCGAATGATGCATCTTCTATTCATATTGAAGCATATCATCCATATTTAATACGATTCCCTTACAATATTGTATCAGCAGATCACATAAGAATTTTAATTATCAATATAGAGTTTGATGAGTTTGAGTGCATTTAACAAAGTTTTTTACAAAATCTTGCAAAATAGGCGTCGAAGGTATTACGATATATTCAATGACACAACAAACATTTTCTTTATGCAATATTACAGGTGCTCGTTGTCTGAAATAAATGAGATTTTAAATCTAATTCGGATTCATAAACTTTTTTATTCCATTACATGTGAGCATTAATAGTTGAACAATTATGGAAGATCTAATGTCCAATCATCCGTTTACTTATTTCTCTACATGAAATTTATAGTCAATTAAGACCATCTTACTTTGATTCAAAATTCTAACAGCTGGTGAGAAACATCATTGAATATTAACCGTAGACAACATAATTGAAGGCAATATCATACAGGTGTGAGTGTCCCTTAAGTGTGCACTTTCCACTTTCTGACATTCTTGTATGATTCAGTTTTTTTGTATAAAGAGTTATTGATTTTGTGATAATATCTCAGAAAATAGTACATGCAAACTGAATATAGTTTCATATGTGAAAAAAAAGGTGATTTATCATTAAAAATACAAAAGTGATTATTTTATAAGCCAATTTTTTGCATAAACGCAACAAATGCAGACATAATATAGGGTGTCCAAAGGTGCGTTTAGTACAGCGCTCTATATGAGACTATTAAAGGAGATATATGCTGATTATAAATATATAATAAAAAATATGAATATATGTATATGATGAGTATGTTGTATTTTGGCGCCATGCCGGGATATAAAATGAATTTTGAGACAAGAGGCGGTTTCGCGGGAAATTTTGGCGGGATTTTTTTCATTTTTTAATGAATCATAAAGAAAACATCCTCGCTCTTGCAAAAAAATGCAAAGACTGTAAAAAAATCTACGAGACATTGGTAAAATGCTTCGGTATGGATGCTCCTAGCTATTCCACTGTAACGTATCATGTTAGGATGTATCACTTCATGAACAAAAAGGCGCCCATCATAAAAATTGACAAAAAATCGCCGGATCAAAGAAAAATCAAAGCAATTCTTCAAGCACTAGATGAAGACCCAAGAGCATCACTCAGAAGGATAGAGGAGATGACAAAGATACCACGTACAACAGTCAGTTATTATCTGCACAATTATTTGAACTACAAACTAGCGTATACACGTTGGGTTCCGCACAATCTTAATTCAGTTCAAAAAAAATCTAGAGTCCAATCTTCGAAAGAGCTCCTCTCTATATTGGGTGCGTATCAATCCAAGAAGTTTCGCTTTTTAGTAACAGGGGACGAGTCTTGGTTTCAATATGCAACAGAAGCCAAAATCATGTGGATCCCGAAGGATGAAAATCCGCAAACATTCCCGAAGAAAAAAATTGACACACCAATGATGATGTTGTCGGTTTTTTGGGGCGTGAATGGCATCATCGCAATTGATATTCTTCAAAAACCTAATACGATGAATGCTCAGTATCTAATTGACAATGTTCTTACTCAAATTATCAATTCTGATGAGTTTGAGAAATCCAAACAACAAAAACAAAAGTTTGCAATTCATTTTGATAATTCAAGAGTTCACAAAAGTCATAAGGTAATGAATTACTTGGTGGAAAACAATGTCAAAGTTGTTCCAAACCCAATTTATTCACCTGATATTGCACTCTCTGACTTTTATTTATTCGGCACGCTAAAAAAGAGAGCTGAAGGACGCGAATTCGCGAGTCCAGATGATCTTGAAAATTTTGTAAGAGAGCAATTTGAGCAATTTTCTCATGATGATTTAAAGCGTGTCTTTCAAGCCTGGATCGATCGCTGCGAACGCGTGATTGAATCCAATGGTGATTATATTTAAATAAACTTTATATATATGTAACTTGTTTATTTCTATTCGCAGTATTCAGGTTTGTGCTAAACACACCTTTGGACACCCTATATATCCAATAAGAATAAATCCAATTAACATTGGAAAGAACATTTCATAAAGTTTTCCTTTATGATTCCTATATCAGAATCAATATCAAATTTAATGTATTCAGGTTGTAGAGAGTTCTTGAAAAGACTTTTCGTTGTAAATGTTAATGATACATTTTTTATTGTGTCTTTTAATGTCAAACGCAAAGTACCTTCAAAAGTAGGTGAGGTTATTTGAATTTTATAATTATCAAAAGAAAATTTATTGTTATTTAAATCTACATACATTTGACCAACATTAAATTGTAATTCATCTTTACTGAAATATATTGTAGTATTTTTGAAGCCTGTTAAATAATAGCGATATCCTGCACTTCTGCAAAGTAAAATGAATGGATAACGTGTAGAATTAATTATTTGTGCTTTTTTGTTAGTGAATCCTTTATTCAGATCAATTGTAGAATTTTTCGTGTCTTTTGCAAAAATATAACCATCCATATGAGGAGTTGTAATGAATGCACAATTTTCGAAAAGACATATGTCTGTATAATTTTCCAAATTTTGATTTGTTGGTAAAATCTTGAAAATATTATTACCTAGAGATATTGCACTATAAACGTAGTCTTGATACTTGTTATTAATACTCTGAATTTCGTTATAATAATCTTGTTCTCGTAATTTGTCATTATGGAGTTCCATTGAGTCGAAATCGATATAAGGATTAGTACTATTTGGTAAAATGGTATAAGAAATGATAAGGAAATTGTTTTCGCGAATGAAAATTTCGTTTTCTGGTTCTAAAGGTTTTATTTGTGATGAATTTGTATAGTATTTTACTGATCCTTCTTGTGCATTAGTTAGGATATGGTATGTCGTATCGTAATATGGAATGAAAACAAGGTTGATTTTTGTTTTGTTGGAAGATTTAAAATCATATCGAGTCAAAAGTGGAACAGGAAAGAATCCTGTGATAAATACTGCAGTAATTGATGAATTTAAAGAAATTAAAAAGTATTCGAAATCAGAACTTTGTTCGCGAGGTCTTTTAATAGTAGTTGGTTGTACTGAAGAGTTTAAATTGAGAATGTTTGAAGTATTAATTACGTATTTCGTCAATATAACAAAATAAAACGTTTCGTCGCTTTTTGGTTCGCGTGGAGCTGTAATATCAATGGTTTGGCAATCATCATCTATTTGAAACTCACTTAATGGGATAGTTCCATATCCCATATGAACTGTATATGAAGAAATAAAAGAGATAAGAAAAGAAATCAATTTTTTTGATCAATTTTTTTGACACATTCAAATTTGAATGTTTAGTTTTTTTTCGAAAAGAAATTTCATTTATTGACAAACTAAGCTATAAGTGAATTTTTTTTCGAAAATGATCACTTGTTTGTTGATTTCTTTCTCATAATGAGTTAAATAATAAACTTTATGATAAAAAAACATCAATTTAGACTACACAAGACGATGTCATGTGCAATACTTGGAATTGATATTATATAAATTAAAAAAAGAATCATTTATTCATTATTTTGGCTATTGTGATTGTTTTTAGAATTCAATTCATTGACATCAATGAGGCTCATTCACTTTCTAAATTTGGATTTTCAGGATCAAGAATAATTTCTAATCCTTGCAATTTTCTCGCTATTGCATAATGATGAGGATTATTTCCGTCTTTATCTTTTGCATTGAGATCTGCACCATGTGAAATAAGAATTTTGGCACATTCTCTATAATTTCTCAATGCAGTATAATGCAAAGGAACTTTATCATCTTTATCTTTTGCATTGATATCAGCTCCATGTGAAACAAGAAAGTCGACAGTTTTGGCACAACCATCTAAAGCTGCATAATGAAGAGGTGTTGCTCCATTTTTATCTTTTATATTGATATTCTCACCGAGAGAAAGAAGAAATTGGATCATTTCTAGATCATCATTCTCTGCAGCAATGTGAATTGCATGTTTTCCATGTTCATTTGGTTTAAAATCGATACTTGCTCCATTTGACATAAGTAAGTCTTTTATTTCTTCATTGTTTTGTTGTATTGAATAAAAAAGAGGAGTTAATCCATTAAGATCTATTACATTAATATTAGCACCATGTGAAATTAGAAATTCAACCAAATCTTTACGATTTTTTATTACAGCTAAATGAAGAGCTGTTTGATGAGTATAGTGATTTGATATGTTGAAATCAGCATTACGTGAAATAAGGAATTCCATTATTGTTTTACTATCGCATTCAAAAGCTTTGAGAAACGCCGTAGTTCCATCTCTTCCTCTTGCATTTATATCCACACCATGTGATATGAAAAATTCACAAAGCGGAATATAATTAAACATTGATGAAAAAGCAAGACATTTGTTGATTTCCTTAGTTTTATCGAAATTCACGAGAAAAGCAGGAATGTTTTGAAACGCGACACAATCATTTAAATTGATTTCTATGTTGTATTCATTTAACAAATATGTAACGAAATCGACATTGTGTGCAATTATAGCATATTTCATGCATTCCCAAGTTATACATTTCTTTTTCACACATTTACTGATGATTTCTTTGTTTCCGCCTAAAAAAGCATAACAGGCACATCTAACTGTTGGACGAAATTTATATTCCCTCGTAATCAAATGTAGATATTCTGTGATTAATAATTTAAAGCAGTTAACTGCGCCATGATAGCAGCATAGTGCAGGTAATGTTATTAACGCATTCGAGTTTGGATAAAATGGACTTTTAATCGTAATTATTGTGTCTCCTCCTTTTGCCTCGAGGATTGATACAAGCAATTCTTTATTATCATTCATAATTGCCTTGCAAATAGTGTTTTCTTCATAAATATCTAAAGAATAATTATTATCTTCGAAATCTTGGAAATATTTTTTGTGATCTTCATTTAAAATGACTCCGTATTCTTTAAATAAAAAGTAATCAAATATCGATGTTACGTTTTGAACATTTGAAGGCTGATATTCTTCATAAAACTTTTTGAATAAAGCCCAATATGATTTTATGTAGTTGTTATTATATAAGCATGCTATTGAAATTATTTCTAGAATCCTAGATGGCGAAAATGTTTTAGTCGAGATAAATTTATTTTTTATATCTTGGTAAAATTTGTCAATTTCATCATTTGAGCTGATATTTAATCTATATAATTTATGAAAAGAATTGATATAATCGTTGGTCCACTTTAGAGCCTCAAGATAGTCGAAATCCTCCATGTAAATGCTAAAATCGTCATATGCTTTAGAACCTCACAAAAAAGATTTCTAATAAACCGAATATTCATAAAGCCATACAAACATATGCAAAGCTTAACTTATGGATTTTCATGTACTAATTGTGAAGTTTCGTTGGAATAATTAATTTTTTCATAAATTATCCAGGATATAAGCAATGGAGCATTTGAATAGCTCAGACTTATCAACAGTATCTATTTTTGGAGAAAATTTCAATTGATAAAGATATGAATTACATTTGAGAATAATTAAAACATGAAAAAATAGCTGAAAAGGATTATTTTTTAATGCTGTAATCATGTGCTCATTCGTAAGTTTCTGCATTTTTGTATGAGGAGAAATATACAGCATTGATTTTTAGAGATATGCTCCATTACAATAACTAGTGCCGACATTATCTAGTCATATGCTCTATGGCCGAAGATTCTCATTTCTTCTTTCTAATTTTTTTCCGGTTTTGATAAAATGCGTTTTAATAAAAATATTATAAATGAACATGTTTCCGATTATCAATATTACATTATTCATATAAGAAATTTCAAAAAAATGAATGCAATTGATCTTCAAGCCCTAAAGAAAATCACAGACAAAATAAAACAAACTTTAGACAAATTCCCTGTGAAGCATGGGCAGAAGTCTAGTGCGAATCTTTCAGGTCCACAGTATGATACTTCCTATTTTCAATTATCTACACAAACAGATTCATTTCGCGAAGTCATAAACAATACAAAAACATTAGACCAAATCGAACCATACGAACACATCCCTCCTCCAAAGAAAATTGAAGCAAAATTTATAAATATTCGATATAATATCTTTGTTAATGCTGAAATTCCCAGGATAGAAAAGCAGAAATATCCATTTTGTGGAGCAATTCAACCAGCAATCGATTCCAAACCCCCTCTTGGCCAATTTGTTGTTGCAATTATTGATTGTAAGCCACAATTTGGCATGATAGGTGCAAATACACTATCAGAGAGATATCAGTTCTATAACGTTTCCATAATGAAAGGACATGTTTCTCTTCTTCCTAAAGATATTTGCTATTTTCCGATTCTTTATCCAACAGTATTCGATCAAGATTACGAATATCCTCATGGCCAAGAAGTTTTTGTTTTAATGAACTTAGAAAATCAAGCAGATATTCGAATTTTACTCGGAACAGTTACAAAAACTCCATCAGAGAACAAATCTACACAATATACTATTCAGCTTACGAATGGTGAGGCAACAAATGTTGAAGCTCGCTTTATTACTTCAATTTATTCGCCACATAATGAAAATAAAAATCCAAAATTATTTGATAAGTTGAAGAGAGAAAGCACTTCAGGAGCATTCAAGAACAAGTTTAACGTCGAAGATTTACTGTTTGAGCCTCCAAATTCTCCTCCGCCTCAAATTCATCCGAATGTAAAGTGGGGAATGCAAGAATACTATCCATTCCCTCAAGCAAGATCAGGACGACTTTCAAAGAAGGCAGCTGAAAATGTTCGCATTGCAAGAGCTCTTTTCAAAGCTGGAGAATCTGAAAATACAACTTACAACTTCGTTTTGGAGAACCCAAGTGAAGCATCCGAAGAGAGTGCACCTCCAGAACGTGAAGAACCAGAACCTCCAAGGCCAATTGAAAAAATTAAAGTCGAATTGAAAAAATTAAAGAAAAAGAAAAAGTCAAAATCACAAATCCGCATTGCCAAACTCAAGGAGCCACAGAATGATTCAGAAACAACCACAGAAAATCAAATTCCAGAAAATCAAGAAAATACAATTTCCGAAAACACTCAAAACCAAACAGACAATCAGCAAAATACAGCTGTTGGAAATACAGAAATCCCAACAGAAAACAATGAACAAGAAAATCAACAAAATACAGACCAAATTACGACAGAAACCGACCAAACTACAGAAGAAAACAAACAGATAGACTTGAATCAATCATTACACCAGTTAAGTTTAACTTCTTTGTTAAATGATATTCCTGACCACAATAATTCCGAAAACAACCAACAACAGCCGGCCAACGAAAGCCAAACATCCAATGAAAATCCATTTACTAACATACAGTCCATTATTGTCCATAAAGAAAACGAAGAAAATACAAATCAACCACAAACAGAGACTCCAACCGTAATTTTGATCCCACAACAGGATTCTGAGACAAAGCAAAATCCACAGGTGCTTATTCATGACCAACAGAGCTCTAAAAATGATGAATTAAAGGAAGAAAGTGCAAATTCCACTCCGAAGTTTACAACTGCGGCCAAGACTCTGTTTGTTCCAAAGAAGTCAGCCAACCAGCAAGATAAAGAAGAATCTCCTAAGAAATATCGCATAACAATCCGTGTTAATCAGAATAATTAAATTTTGTGTATTTTTTAACATCTTTTTTACTAATACTTTTTGAATGTCAAACATATAGTATGGCACTGTTTATTATATTGCTCAAAAGTCTTCGGAATGAAGTGAATATAATGTATTTCATTTTCATTGACCAAGAATTGTATAATACCATATGCAAATGAGAAATTTAATACAAATTACAAATCAATTTCCTTTGTTTACCAATTTCAGCTATTTTTAGTATAATAATTATTATAGTATCGTCAAATCATTTATAAAATTCATAATTTATATTGTGTTATAAGTACTTTTCATCTTTGAAATGATAATCTCATCCAAAAAAATTCAAAGGAACAAAGGATATTCTGCTTTATAACATTCATAAGGATGATTGAATTGCTTAGAAATGAACAATCAACTATAAATTATTTTATTAAAAAAATTAAATTTAAATAGAAATTGAAAGTTTACTTAAATATTTCATACTTTTTTGTATTCAATAGGACTATCATTGGTCTTCTTGCATCTCCAAATAATAAATACGGCAACGCCAATAACAAGGAGAACTCCAACAACTATGCCTGTGATAATAAGAGGAATCAACCATTTAAGGAAATCAAGTTCATCATCACGATCTTCTTCGTTTAAGCCATAAGAAGTTGTTTCATTGATGGCAATAATGTGATAGTTATTATATCCTCTTGTATCTTTGATCACCATTGGATACTGTGTATTACCTCCAACTTTAAAGCTGATAGATGATTTGCTCTTTGGATGATCAATAGAAACATAAACGAAATCAGCAAACTTCTGATTGTTTGAAATCTCATTGCCATACATATCATAATATTTTGCATTTTTGTCTTTGGAAACTTTGATGTCACCATTCTTTGTTACTGCAAAAATGGAGTATTGTGAATCGGCATCATATTTAACAGTGTAATCTTTCTCACCAAATATTGTAACAACTTTATTGAATTTTGATGGCAGAGATGTATTCTTAATCATTATAAATGATAATGAGCTATTTCCTGTGACTCTAACATATGAATCACTTGCAAACACAAATCCTGCAATTTCTGGGATGGTGTCTGGATCATCTACAACAACAGTGCCTGAGAATACTTTGATTCTGAGCAGGCCACGCTCTGTTATTAACATAATAGAATTCTGTGGAATAGTTAATATATATTCATTATGTACATCAACATTGTAATTTCCATATTTGAAATCAACAATATCATCAATAATTGCATAACCATTTTCACGTGAATCATAAGCTTGAACATGATAGATATCTGTCATAGATTTGTTCGTGTTATTGTTGATACCATAATATTGGGAAACACGATATTCAACATCTTCTGAACTTATGTACTTGGCAATTAATGTGTTGTAACTAACAGAAAATGTTGCACCTTCTGTCCATTTAAGATAAGATTTTCCATCCAATACGAAATTATCGTACAATTGTATTTCAGCTTTGGTGTAGCGTCTGTAGAAAACAGAATTTGATACGTTTGGATTGGCAAAAATAGAACAAAAATTATGATAATTGCCGCCTGGATACATTTCGACCCAATCGTTGCTGTACTTGTTCATAATGAAGTCTAATGTATCACATTTGCCTTTCTTAAGTTGAACATACGAGTAATTTAAGTAATTGTTGTTGGCTTTGATAGTTAAAGATGTTGGATTGGTGTAAACGCGCTTGAGATCACGATCGTTTACCTTGAAGTTTTCTGGTTTAGGGAAAATTACGAAAGAATCGAAATTTTCCTTTGGAGTGAAAGTCAATTCAAGTTCTGATTCTACTAGATCAGAATATGCACCTGGCACTGGTACCTCTTTGGCATATGCAATTGATGACAATAGGATCGAAAGCATAATGAAAAATGATTTTCTCTGAAGATATATCCACCCTTACAAAAATTTGGATCATGAAAGTTTAATTCAAATCTTCACTCACAATTCTTCAAATTGGCATTGGTGCTTAAAGCAAGTCAGAATAAAATTATATACAAAACATTCCGTTCAAAAACAAATTTGGATCAAACGATACCTCTAATTTTTAGTGTTTTTTTTCATCCGCTATCACAATTTTGACAAGAAACAATGCGTATCAAAATTAAATCATAGTGTATTGCAGTCATTCATATAAAATCAATCAATTGCAGTTCAGGCAATAACCTTATATTGAATTTTCAAAAAATCACTTTCGGATTTTGTATTTTGCTTACACAACATGGTTACACTCATATAAGATGAAAAAAATTTGAAATTTTGATTTCATCGTCCGGAAACAATTCTTTAAAATCTGATATGATATCATATTTAGGTTGATCTTTTTTCCTACCTCAGAAACTATGCTTCTGAAATCAATTCAAAATAATTGAGAGTACTTTCAATTTAAATCATTCAAGGAATATTATATTTGAATATGGATAATGATTTTGAAAAAAATTCAAATATATATGATCCAAAAATAACCACTTTTTTTAGATATCGCTTCGATTGATAGATTTATGTCAGCAGGTATCGACCCATATGGCCCCAGCATTGAAGAATGGTGTAACAATGAAGAATCTATTAAATCAAAGAAGCCAGAAGAACTTTCTCAACTCTTATCAAAATCTTCAATAACTTCCCATCAATTTCGCAAAATATTTACAATAATACATAAGAATTTTAAGCAAGAAGATACCATTTCTATCTCCAAAAATGTTTCATTGTGTAATATTCATGATCAAAAATCTGCAAAGAAAGTTCTTGATTTATCTTCATCATTTGTTCTCATTGCAATGATTTCCTTAGATATGTTGTAGACAGAGAAATATTCAAGCTTAACGAGTTTAGTAATCTTGAATTTGATATTCTCAATTCCCAAAACCTTAAAGCTGCCTTTCTAATGTATGAGAAAGATCAAAATTCAGTTCTTCCATGGTGTGTCGCATTACCTCAGTTTACGGACATTCTAAAGAAATGAAATTTAGAATTTGATCGAGTCGCTGCATTTAATAAGAACATATTTCATTATGCAGCTGAATACAATAACATTGATGCTCTTTACACTTTAACTCCTCCAATGATTAAAAAAATCAACATTAATCAGAAAAATTCTGATGATTGAAATGGTCCAATTCACATTGCAGTAGAAAATAATTTTATTGATATCGTAAGATATCTTATTAATCATGGCGCATATATCAATGTAAAGAATAAGCAAGGACTACTTCCTCTTCGTATTGCTTTAGAAAATGATAATGAAGAAATGGTTGAATGCCTTATTAAATGTGGTGCAAAAGTCAATATAAAATGTATTGATGGATTAACTCCAATGCATTATGCAGCAGAGAATAATTGGATAAAAGTAGCTGAGCTTCTAATCAAGCATGGAGCTAATATCAATTTAAAAGACGACAAAAAGGAAACACCTCTTCATATCTGCGCAGATTCTAACAGATCGGAAATTGCCGAATTACTCCTCACTAATGGAGCTCACACAAAAACAGGATCCCCAAGTCTGCTAACATTTCTACATATTGCAGCACAATATGATAGTAAAGAAACAGCAGCAGTGTTCATTGAACATGGAAACGATATTAATGCAAAAGATAAAAATGGAGATACCCCTCTTAAGACAGCTGAGTTTCTTATCTCTAGTGGAGCTGATATTCATGTGAAAAATATTAAAGGAAAAAACGCACTATTCTATGCAACAGAAAATAGTTTTACGGAAATAGCAAAGCTTCTTATTACAAATGGAGCAGATTTCAGAGAAAAGATTCATAATGGAGAGACGGTATTTCATATTTCAGCTCGAAATGGAAATAAAGAAATTATGGAACTTCTTATATCTCAAGGTGCAGATATCAGAGACAAAAGTCAAGATGGAAACACAGCTTTTCACCTTGCTGCTAAGTGCAATAAAGTTGAAATTGTAGCACTTCTTATTTCGCATGGTGTAGATATCAACGAAAGAAATAATAATGGAGACACAGCTCTTCACATTGCCGTCAAGTCCAATAAAAAAGATATGATTGGATTTCTTATTTCTCAAGGGGCTGATATAAATGCAAAAGATGCCAATGAACAAATTCCTCTTCATTATGCCCAAATATCTGGAAAAACAGGAATAGAGAAACTCCTGCTTTCACCCGAGTCTCTTAAAAATAAAACACTTCAAGACTTCATGAAGCCGAAGAAGAAATATACTAAAAAGGCCAAATCAAAACCAGAAAACCAATCAAACAAACCATCATCTGAACCGGAATTTAAATGGCATTATTCAATCTGGAATAAGCCTAAAACTCCATACGAATTGAAAAAATAGAAACGGAGAAATATATCAATGAACCCATATGTCTATTTCTGCGATGGAAAATGGCAAGAAAAAAAAGTAAACGCGCAAATATTTGCAATCAAGTAGATTATTGGAAATTCCGCTAATAGATGACAAATTCAATGCACGTCCGTATAACATGGAAGCTAGGTGAACTTTTATTTCTATACTAAAAGCTTATTATATATTCCAAAAATTATGAATATTTATAATGATAATGAAATCTTTATATTATAAAATTTTTAATTTACTTATATAACACATCTTTTTGTTTAGGAAACAAGATTTAATCAAAATTTTTCAGTCAATAGAATGAACTCAAAAGTTTTTTTCTTGGAGTATTAACATATTAACAGTTATTCAAGTTGGCTACATCAGAAAATTTATTTATGTTATAATTTATTTATGTTATAATTTTCCCCGAGCGAATCAACTATCTTATTGTAATATATCTTTTCTAAATCTTGACAATCTAATGCAATATGCCTGAACTTACCTTTCAACTTATAATTATATTTTGTAATTTAGAATCGCTAATTTGAGGATATTCAATTATCATAGTTCACATACAAAGTCTCGAACAAAGGTGTGTATACCCTGTAAACATGCATAAACTAGATTTTCATAACTGAGAATCCCCTCATAAAAATAAAACTTTTTTTTTATTTTTCAATAAAATGACTCTTCAAAGCGCATTAGAGCAAATTGAAGAGCAATTAGAGATCAACGAACGAATAGAGAAGGAAATAGCCCAAAAGAGGATAGAATTTGCAGAAGAGAAAGCAAAGATTTCTCTCACTGAAATGAATTTTGATGATAGCGAAATATTCAATCAATTAGACGCCGAATATAAGGATCTATATAACGAACTTTCAAATAAAACAAAGAGCTTGGAGTCTGAATATCGAAATCACGAAGAAGAAATAAATAAAATCGTTGAGTCACTGAAATTCCTATACGACAATCAATCAAAGATTAACATAGATTATTCACGATCAATTACCGATTCCAAATTATCAAAATGCTCAAATGAAAGAGATGAAAAATATGCCAAACTTCTGGAAGATCAAATAAGTGATCTTGACGTTATTATACGCCAAGTGAAATCACAAATTAAACAAACCGACAAAGAACTCGGTCATCAAACGGAAATAAGCAATTTAATTCAAGAAAGAGGCGGAGGAGCTCTCGAAACAGTTAATGAAATCAAATCACTCGAATCTGATGTTAGGAAAATTACAAACAGTTTGGATGACGGAAATAACGAAATTATGAATATTCAAGAAATTATGGCAAATGATGAGGATGAATACGCAGCACAAATGGAAAAAATAGAATCTTTATACGGATATCAAAAAATCCACAGTGCAATGCGTGGAATTTTGCAACAATACAACCAATCTATTTCAGAGAATCAGGAATTCTTAATGAAGCTAGACCGAAACATTTCTAACTCTGAAAATAGATATAAGGTGCTTTCAAAGCTTCCAAAAAACAATAATTTGCCAAATGAAGAAATTGAAATGGAAACTGATCAGCTAATTAAGAATCTTAAGTTACTTCAGAAAAGAGAATCCAACAGGATTAAATATTCAAAGGCAGAAATGGAAGAATTAACCGAATTAATCCAAAAAAGTGAAAAGAAGGTCGAGCAGCTGAAATACAGTCTCAGCATTGCACAGCAGCTTCTAAAAGCAGAGAATAGGGATATGAAGAACGTAGTAAGCAAACAAAAAGAATCAAATTTCGACAGGGAAACGGAAACACTCGCCAGTATTATAGATTACCGTCTGAAGACCCCTCAGCGCGCTTCGCCAAAGAAGAGTTTAATTCCAAGAAGAACACCAAAATAATTTTTTTTTATTTGTTTTATTATTAAACAGTGTTATTTATTTTCTGATCGCTCATTACAATGTTTACAAAAGTAGCATTGTTTTCAATCACGAATCTTTGATATATCGAAAAATCCATTATATCTTTCGTTAAACAGTAAATGATTTAGATAGAAAAGAATGAGCTTCAAGGTACCTTTGATTTCAAGATCCTTTCATTCTGATGTAAGGATTAATTATTTGTCATTCATCATACGGGAAAGCGACAGATTTTATGAATTTGTATAATTCTCATTCTGCTCGAATTTTTAATTTAAATACAGAAATTTCACCACCACGAACTGTTCAAACTGCAAGATCACCTCGTAGACGTCCAAATAAGTTTGCTGACGATAATTTTAATACACAAGACTTAGAATTTGGAAAAAATGGTGTTCATGTAACAATTGGATCAAGTAGAAAGGAAGAAGAACCATTATCACTATCCCCAGGGCCGGCTGCATATGATACTTTTGATTACGTTAGAACAACACCATGCTTTACTCTGAAAAGTCGCCCAGAAGTAGATTATTCAACAGATACTAGTGGATGTGATGTTCCCGATCTTCGTCAATATCCAAGAAAACTTGATAGAAAAATCGGCTTAAGAGTTAATACAGATTTATGGCCTACAAACGATAACCCATTAGCAGCATATGATATACCAGCGCCGTCAACTCCAAAAGTGTCAATTAGAAGTAGAATACCAATTCCAGTTAACGATACTCCAGGTCCTGGTCAATATTCTCCACGAACACCTAAAACGCAGTACCAAGCAACATTTCCGAAATTGAGAACGAGAAACGCATTCGAGTGCCGTTCAGTTTCACCTGGACCTGGACAATATAACATCAACAGATCTCTAATCCGTACAGAAAAATGGAAAGGAGCAATAAGACCAATTAAGAAATGGGATTATGGTGAAAATGATTAATTCCATTAATTTGTTAGATTTTTTGTTTGATAAAAATTTTCTTTTATAATGGCCATGCTTTAAACATATATAAACCTCTTCATGACAAGATTCTGAAATTGTCTCATGCATAAGATCAGTCAAACATAATATTTACGTTGCAAATCCCGAGAAAATTTTTATTTTGTGAAATAACTTTTTAGGATCATGCAGTAATGATAATTATGAATATTTTCCCTTGCTGCATAAAAATTCGAGTGAGTTTGTAAACATCATAAAAATTTGAGCCACCATGTAAAGAAAATTGAATGAAATTTTATAAATTTATATGATCGAAATAATTTTACGTATTACATTACTATGCATTTTTCACTCATAATTAATTTGAATGGAACATAAAAACGATAGCAGTAATTCGATTTTCAGCTATCTGAAATGGCTGATATTCCTGGAAACGAAAAAACAGCTGAGCCAGAAACAGAACTTTCGGATGCAGATATTGCAAAACTAGCTAGTGACCTAAAAATTAGTCAGCTAACTCACGAAAACCAAGAATTATCAACAAAATTAAAAGAAATGAGCCAAGAAAAAGACAAAATCCAAGAAGAACTCAATAAACTTAGAGAAGAGAAAAATGAGGATATTTCTCTTGAAAATATCGAGGGCTCTCTCAAAGTATTGACTGATGAAAATGCAAGACTTAATAAGGAAATAACAAGCTTAAAATCTTCATTATCTACTTTCAAAGAAACAACAGAAGCTAACCAAAAAACGACAGAGCAGTATAATAACTTGAATAAACAATATTTAAATCTGAAAGAAGATCATAGGTCATTAACTATAGCAAACAATGAGCAAGAAATGCAATTTGTTCAAATTAAGGATGAATTAGCGAAGGCTAATGAAAAAATTAAACAAAATTCAGTTGTTATAGACGCTTTGAATGGACAACTGTCGATCACTAAGAAAGAACTCCAAGATATAACTGATGAGAACAAAAATTTACAACAAAAAATTAGTGAATTACAAATCAAAAATAATAATTACGAATTAAAGATATCACAGCTTCAAATAAAAGAGAAAGAACTTTCAGAAAGCGAAAAGAGATACTTCTACTTAAATAATTCTAATCAAAGGTTAAATGAAGAATATACAAAATTGAAATTCCAATATGAAATTAAAGTAAAAGAGATAATCTCAACAACCAACTTGTATCAAGAGAAATTATCAGAGAAAGAACAGATAATACATCAATTGAATGACAAACTATACGAAATCAACACTTTGCAACGTGCACAATCAAGATCATTTGATAGTAATTCAGTAGTTGTTAACTACACAAAGACTAAGAACCTCGAAAGGAGCTGTAAAACACTTTCAAATCAAGTAGATAATTTAAAGAAACAAAACACGCGACTTAAAGCTAAACTTAACTCATCAGATAGTCTAAAGAAACAAGTTCTTATTAAGGAGCATGAAAATGCCCAGTTACAAGAAGAATATTCTCGATTTAAGAATACAGCTTATAAAGATATAGCTAGACTCCAAGAAAATACTAGAATAGAGAGAAATCAGTATGAACAAAAGATTCAAGCATTAACTAGTCCTAGGAAATAAGATTATTACTTCTATATTATTTTTTTGTAAATTGTTTTATAAATAAAACGTATACTAAGGTTTGTGATATACTAAGTTTTTGGTTCTGTATTTGATACTCTTTTTTTTAAAAAAAAAATATCTTTTTGAAAATTGACAAACATTTATTAGATAATATCGCTATTATGAAAAAATAAAGTAAATAATTAAAAAGAAATATCGGAGCTATCATCTGAATCCTCGGGGCTTGAGGAATATTCGGAATTTGAATTTGAAAGCATTGCTGATACTTCTTGTATATCGCTTAACGTAAGACAACTTTCCATCTCTTTAAGCAGATAGTTAGTCAGCTTCATATTTTTACTTTTTGCTGCATGATGTAGTAAACAAGTACGATCATCTTTTCTACTTGATAGATTCGTTTTCTGGGTAGAATATAGCCACATGAACATTTCGAAATTACCACAATCTGCTGCAATAAATAGGCAATCACTGAAATCAACTCCAAAATTACTTAATAATTGAGTGCATTCTAGGTTACCACTAGCTACTGCAAAATGGGCAACGGTTTGTCCATTGAAATCTTTTGAATCAATTCGGACGCCTATTTGAATAAGCGAAGTAATACATTGTAAAGCAGAATAGTATGCTGCAACAGAGATTATTGGTGTATTGGTTGAAAATATATTGCAGGTTTTCACATTAAAATTTGAAAATTTTGAATTTGGTGCGATTCCTTCGGCGATGATCTCTGAAAGTTGGTCAACATCATCATTTTTAAATACTCTATTAAGGGTTCGCTGAACGGTATTCGATAAAATGCTACCATTTGGAAAAAGATATGTATGATTCATCCAAAATTTATTGAAAATTTCTCTTACAAAATTGTCAAAAACTAGGTTTCCAAAAATCAAAATTTATACTCCTTATTAATAGCTAGTAAAATTATTTATAAATTGTTCTGACGGTATCAAGATAATTTCAATGAGTTTGAAAAATCAGTATTAAATATTAACCTTACATGTCACAATAGTCTAACATTCATATCGTACGAAAAAGGTACTTTCACGAAAAGTGACATCCCTCTATTGTATCATATATGATATCAAGATCAAACATTAGATGTTTTTTATGAGTAAAAATGGCTTCATTTGACGATTTGACTAATTATATAGTACTGTTATTTTCCGAATTTTTTTGAAATTGATTTTTTCAAATGAAAAATTAAATTTTTGATTTTCATTTTTGAATTTTTGAATTTTTTTTGGAATTTTAAGTTGATCAATTAAGCAGGATGAGCTATGAGAATGCTTTATACATCTCACAAGATGATGAATTAAAGGCGAATTTAAAAACAGATTATTAATATCCGAGAATTTTTTCGAGACTGTTGCTGGAATATGTAAAATTCTTTTAAATTGCTTTCTTTCAAGAGTTTATAAAGGAATATGGCATTTACTTTATCTGAACAGAGATTCTGTTGCTAACTTATCCCATACTCAAATTTTTTGATGCACAGTTAACTGTTTTACAAATAATTTAGGTACATAATATCTTTATTTAGTAGCAAAAGGTGAATATTCAAAAATATTGAAATATCTTTTATCCTAAGGTTTTAATTCTGTTCGCCAAACAAATGATATATTTAATTATGTGTGAGTGTTATAAAATTATTCGAATTTTGGTTCAATTAGGACCATCATCATCCAAATATATCCAAGTAGCATTTATTAGATTTACGAATGTTTATCTATAAATTTTGGCATTAACAAAGACTTTAATGCTATAATTTATAAAGGGATTGTATTTTCGGCTAGTATTTAATCTTTGTACAGTAATTCTTCTTATTTCATAGCAAAATTCATGAATAAAGAGTCACGTACTTTTATTAATGAGAATTTAAAGGCTGTATAATTATATTTCATCTTATTTTTCCTATTACAGCAAAAATATATACCAAATCATTTTAAAAAATGCTTATTTAAATCGAATTAGTATGCGGTATCTGCAAGTTCATTGCTTAGAAATCATAAATAGCTCTTGGGTTGTAAATCTCATGTATTGTGATTTAGATTCAATCTTGAAGTCATGGAATTAGTGCTGTACGATAAAGACATATTATCAAAATTAGTTTTTAAACTTATTAATATACAGATTTCCGTATATAATAAAAAAATAAAAAAATATAAAATTAATTCTTTTAGTTAACCAAATTTCGTTAACAAATTTCAGATTGGTGATTATTCATAGTCATTGGGGTAATACTTATTTCATGTATTTAGCGTACTATTTTTTTTTTGACAAAAAATAACGGTGTCACGTGGATAAATAATTAAAGCAAGACTGTCTATAGTAGATACATATTATTTTAGAAAATTAGAATTGAACTCCTAGGTTTCCAAATTGAATTCATTGGAACTTTCGAAATTGACACTTTTTAAAATGAGTTCTACAAATATTATTAGGGTAACGCTTCCTGACAAAGCAGTACAGTTCATAGAAATTGAACAAGATGGCACATTTGGCGATGTTTGCTCATACGTACGCAAACTTTTTGATGTTTCAGATTCAATGGTCTTGATTCCTCAAACGGAGAACAGAATTACAGACACAACAAAGATTGGATCGCTATTTACAGATAAGATTCTCCATATAAGTGTCAAAAATTCTTTTGATCACGAAGCTCAAGCCTATCTTGACTCCATTTCTCATAACAAGACTATTGCAAATAGTCAACAAAATACCGATAGACTCAAAAAACATAAAATTATCCATGCAAAGGACGAAACGAAAGAAACTCCGATTCCAATTCCAATTTCAAGCTTACTTACTTCGATTGTTGAAGTCGAAACAGAACCAGACTATAACAGATACAATTACAAATGAAATTATCAAATTCAAAGAAATTTTTTGTTGACCCACTTTAATATTGAAAAAATTGTTTGTTTATCAATAATAAAAATCCTTTTACCAACGAATTTTCAATTTTAATTTAATTTTTTTCCAGAAACAACATCTTGGCTTTGAACTAAATAACTATATTGATAATACTTTGGATTATCATACTGAATATCCTCAATTTCAAATTTTGGAATGATTGTCAGATTAGTGATTTCTGTGTGATTTAGAATATTTGATGTTTCTTTGTCAATTAATACAAATGAAAGTTTATGTTGGATTTCGGATTGATCAAAAGAAATTTGAATTCTACGGCTCTCCTCATTACCATCTAAGAGGTCAACTACTCCATTGTAGTCCGAAATTTCCGTTGTATAGTCTCCTACTTTAACTAATATTTTAGCATATGGGATTGAAATGTCAAAAGTAAACTTTAAAACGACTCTGTCATCGTAACTTAATACTCTTTTAGATTGATCTAATTCTGCATTGATTTCGTTTTTCATTGAAGATCGCTTGACTGTTACCCTCTTAGATAATATATTGGATACTTTTTCATTAGAACCATCAACATAATGACCCCTAGCAATAATGTAATAGGTTTCATCTGTCAGAGTATTAGGAATGAATATGTAAGTTTTATAAATTCCTGTTTGAAGGAGTTGGGGGTTGTCTGTAAAAACATTATCGTTTTCATTTTGAGTTGAAGAAATAACAACATCAAAAGTGTTGCTTCCAGAATCATAATATTCGGAATCAAAATATAGATCAAAGAAAATAGTTACCCATTTACCTGCAGTTAGTGTATTAAAAAAAGATATTTTAGCTAGTTTAGGATCGCCAGCAAATTTTACATCCATACTATACAAATCTGCTTCATCTGAAATCGCCATATGAGAAAATGGCAATTCATCAGGTACTTCAAATGTTAAGGTATCTGGACTTGTAAAAGTGGCTGAATATAATTTGGAATTATAATCACCATAGAGGGCAACACTATATTGGGGTCATTATTGATTTTGTAATTTAATCGTCGTCGTTATCGATTTTGTAATTTAATCGTTATCGTCTTTTTCTAAACGTGCATTTTTTGCTTTCGGAGCTATTGAACATACATTGGCCCTTACCAGCAATTGAAAACTATTTTTCATTATCAACAATTACATTACTCCGAGTTATTCATCAATCAATGAAAATCGATATATAGTCCATACTTCAATTTACAATATTGGCAAGTCCAATTTCACTTGGCATATTTAACTCATATAGAAAAACCAGTTGGAATCGGCAAAATTATCTTTAATTCCATACATAAGAAAAAAAAATTATAAAGTTCTTCAATAATAGCAAACTAATAGTTTAAATAGATTTACAAGTATCGCCCATCTACTTTTGATATAATTCACATATTAAATGTAGAAAACTGGTTTAAAATAAATATTTCAAAAGTTCGAAAACGATTTATGAAAAAATAACGTGATGACATTTACTAAATTTGCTCTGTATTAAAGTATCGATGATAGAAAGAGCATATTTTGTAAATATTTCAAAAATATTTAAAAGTCGGAGAAATTGTATTGTAATGTACTATAATTATGTTACAAATCCGATTCAATACTAATCCTTCGCTATTGAAGTTGTTTTGAGAAGGATATTCTCTAAATTCTTGATAAATCTTTAAAATCTAGAGTAATCGTTTTGTAAACTTAACAAAACTAAAATGTATACCAATAGATTGGCATTTTCTACGTTTTCAAAGTGAGAGAGTGTAAATTCATTTTTTTTATCCTATTAAAGTTTTTAAAAAATTTAATTAACTTAATTTATATGATCTGAAATATATGACAAGTTAATATGGAGAATTCTTTCAACCCAATTTCAATTTATTGAATTTTCTATTCGAATTCAAAAATTTTCCCAAGAAGAAAAAATAATTAGGAAATTTAATATGTTAATACATAAAATATTTTATTTATTCAAAGAATTCAATTTTCTATTGGATCAAAAAACTTGTGTTAAAGTTCGTATTTTAAGATAACTATACTTTTAGAAGCTGTTTTTATTTTTTTCACCGGGATTTTATTAATTTTGCAAATTACCTCAGACTTTTCAGAGGATTGAGTTGCCACTCAATCCTCTGAAATAGTCTGTGGTAATTTTTAGTCTCTACACTATTTCAATATAAGCTCCATTTTTAAACAGTTTTTAAAAATCGAGCATTGAAAAGTGTGATGAGACTTAATTCTTTCAAAATTTGAATCTTATTGTATATCACCGGACTATGATCATAATAGAGTTGCAATCTCTAATTATAGCCACATTAGTACTCGTGGGTAAAAAAAAGGTAGTGGGGCTTCCAGGCGCGTTGCGCCCTCTAGCCCCGAAGATGTTTAGTATAAATGAAGTTTTTATTCGGAGGGCTTCCAGGCGCGTTGCGCCCTCTAGCCCATAAAAAATTTCTGAGGACGAGCCAGCCGGTGACAAAACCAAAACCGTTGTTATTTACATCAGGTGTATATCTGGTGAGGGCTTCCAGGCGCGTTGCGCCCTCTAGCCCATAAGAAATTTTGCCCAAGACCCAAGAGGAGGACCGAACCCCAGCCGACCAGCCGGTGACAAAACCAAAACCGTTGTTATTTACATCATATTAATGGTGTCACTTTTTAAAATGTCACTTTTTTGTGTCGCTTTTCACAAATTATATATGTTTTCATGCTTCGTCACTTTTCTGTCACTTTTCGGGTAAAAACATTTTTATTATTATATATAAATGAATTTTACAAAACCACCATTACCGTTCTTTGGAAATAATAGTAGATGTAAAGATATTATATTGAGAGAACTTCAGAAACTACCGAATGGTCTAACATTTGTAGATTTGTTCGGTGGAAGTTTCTATATATCCCATTTATGTCATACCGTATTTCCTGACTCAAAGATTATATGCAATGACTTCGACAACTATATGAACCGTCTCAAACATATTCCAGACACAAACAATATATTGAAAGAGTTAAAAGAAAAGATACCTATAGGTAAGATGGAACGTATACCATTAGATAAGAAAAATATTGTGAGAGAGGTTTTGAAAAAAGCAGAATATATAGACTGGGATAGTATATCTGCTAGACTATTATATAGTGGTGCTATAAGAGTTCATGACATTGAAACACTTATGTCAAAAGTTTTATATCTTAACTATACAAATGTTTTCAAAGAGGACATAGAAAAATATATTGAGGGTATAGAGTTTGTGAGATGTCATTGGACAGAGTTGTATGAAAAATATAAAGACAAGGAAAATGTTTTCTTTATAGTGGACCCGCCGTTCTATAACACATGGGATTTTCAATACCAAGTAGACTGGACTTTGAGAGACTCTTTAGAAACTTTAGACGTTTTACATAACCATCCATGCTTTTACTTTACATCCGATAAAAGTGGTTTGGAAACCGTTATGAGATGGTTAGAGGACATACATGACTATGAGTTTAGATATGACAAGATAGAATATGAGAGAGGTCCTATAAACCGGAGAAAGTGTCATAACAAAGAAATTTTACTAGTAAGTAAATGTGGTTTGAAATAGGACTACTTGTTTTAGGTTTTTTCCATTGTGTCATTTATTTATTTGACGTGGCAGAAAAATACAGAGAATATGAAGATGAACCAATGCCTGCAAATGTTCAGTATATGTACTCGTAAGAGATATTTTTATCTAATATTAAATGGACGCACAGAACTTAGCAAATGCACAGCAACCTGGACAACCAAACCCAGAGAATATTCCAAATGAAGTTAGAATACAAACTGCAATGGCAAACTATGGTCAAGTGCCAACAGATGTACAAATGCAAACTGCCATGTCAAATGACGCTGCGTTAGGTTTGCCACCATGGTATGCAAATATGAGATGGAAAGAGTTTTATACAAACCCTGAAGTGGGATATAAACAACTTTATGCAGATGACGCGAACACAGGAGTTGACCCAGAATATGTTTTCTACCAGAGGAGAAACAGAATGTATGAGCTCCAGTTAAAGAATGCTATGGAACTCAACAGGAAACGTAAGAGACTAGGCGGACATTAGATTTTTACATATAGTAAAATGGGTTTCTTCAGTAAGATAGGAAACTTCTTTCGAAATGTTGGAAGAGGTATATGGAATGGAATAAAATCTGTCGGAAGAGGAGTATGGAACGGTGTCAAAAATATTGGTAAAAGAGTAGGTCAGTTTGTTGGTATTATACCTAAAGACCCTGAACCAGAAGAGCAAGCTCCTGTTATACAACAGCCTGAACCTGCACCACAGTCAAGTTGGCAACCAAATCCAACACCTCAACCGTATTAAAAAATTATATTTTTATCGTTCGATAGTAGTTGTATATGAAACTAAGTTCTAAGTAAAACGCATGGTATAATGGAATTATTCTTTTTCTTCCATCTGTAGTAAACCATACTTGAAAGTCTGAAATACTTCCACTCAGCGGTTCATATAACTTTGTAGGTTTTTCGTAAAAGTCATTCATCAGACATAAGAAAGAGTTTTGCGCACCAGAAAATGAAGCATGAACAATAATAGCATCTGGGTCGAAAATATTTTCATATGTTCCATTAGGTTTTTCGACTTCATAATAGTCCGGGTGTACTGGATATGCTGCAGGCTGATTTAACATCCTCATAAATCTATACCATGCCAAGTTGTTATATTTTGTAGAAATATAAACGTTTTCTCCAAGGTCTTCTATTTTATTGATTTTAACAGTTGCATTTTTCCTGTCATAAATAATATCGAGATGGTATTCTCCTTCGTCAATGTTAAACTGGTTTGCATATTCAATATAGATATCGTTTATTTTTTCTTGAAAAGCTTGAAGAGTTGTTTCTAAGTTTATAAGCAAATTAACTTGTAAAAGTTTTCCTTGTTCAAATTTCTCATACATACGTTTTTCTTTGTTATAGTATCGAACTTCAAAACCGACCGTAAATGGGAAACCATGTATGGCTTCTGAAATGAACTTCATTCTACGAAAGCCAATAGCTTTTGTGACAGATGGGTCTCTTAACCATCTTAATGGGTAGTCAAAACGATAGCCTTCATGCTTTACGGTATCTGTCTCAAACTTTTGACCGACATTAGTAAAAAGTTCATCTAATGGTTTAGTTGTAGCAACTCTAGAATTTTCTTTTTCTATTGGAAGCATATTTTATCTATAATAAAAATGTCAAATGAAACAGCGTCTATGAGAGAAATACAACACAACCGACAACTCATTATGCAAGCTCTAAATAAGAACACAACAAACTTTTCAAACTATTCTAAGATATCTGAGTCATTGAAAGGGGGTGACTTAAAACTGACAATAAACCCAATGACAGATGAGTTTCTGTTTCAAGACAATAAGAACCATACTGTCTGTATAAATCCAACAAAAGGAACTTTAAACGAGAAACCTATAAATGAACTTCTTTTGAAAGCAGATGTTGACAACAAAGCTGACAAAGAATATGTAGACGATGCAATAGCAAAAGAAGAAGAAAGAGCTAACAATGCTTATGCAACAAAAGAACATACTCATCCTGAACTAGCAGACAAAACATATGTTGACAATAAAATGTCAAGTGAAGTGACAAGAGCTGAAAACGAATATTCTAAAAAGACTCATATACATTATATTAACCAAATACCAAGTCTTAAGGAAACATTAGAGACAAAAGCAGATAAGACTCATACACATTCTATATCTGATATTACAAACTTACAAGAAACCTTAAACAGGAAAAGTGACACTGGACATACACATTCTATATCTGATATTACAAACTTACAAGAAACCTTAAACAGGAAAAGTGACGCTGGACATACACATTCTATATCTGATATTACAAACT